GTGGGGGAGCCACAGGGAGCTCATTGTGGGGGCTGGGAGCCATAGCTCCAGTATTTGCGAATTTTGCCATTTGTGGTGGTGCCAGGAACTCATTCACTGCAAATGGCGAGAGTCTCCTGAATATAAAATGAAGGAGGTAATTGTTCTGCTGTATTCAACAGTTACATGCTGTTAGCTGGAGTACTGTGACTGATTTTGCCCCCACACTTTAAAAAAGACATGAACAAAATGGAGTGAGTTCAAAGGAGAACAACAAAAATAAGAAGATTAGAAAAACATGACAGAAAATAAAAAGTTGAAAGAATTGGGCATGTTTAGTCTAGAGAAGAGAAGACTGAGGGGGGACTTAAACTTTTAAATAGGTAAAATAGTGTTACAAAGAGGACAACAATCAATAATGTTACATGTTTGCTGAGGATAGGATAAGAAGTAATTGACTAAGTTTGGAACAAGGGAGATTGAGGTATTAAGAAAAACTTTGATTCTAATGATAGTTAAACTCTGGAACAGATTACATAGGGAGGTTGTAAAATCCCCATACCTGGAGGTTTTTTGGAACAGATCAGACAAACACCTGTCAGGAATGATCTAGGATGTACCTCTGTAGATAATGGAGGCGGATGAGATGACATCCTGAATTCCTTCCAGTCCTACATATGTTTTTCTCTGATTGTCTCCTTTGAAGCTCTGCTGACCAGTGGGTGCTCTTCCCTGGGACTGGTCTGACACAGTTCCTGAATTAACTGCATCTCTGACCAATGTTCTCTCTGATCTTTTCTATCCATGTGCGGAATAAAGTTTTTATGTGAACTGAGGCAATTGCAAATGTGTACTACCAGTAAAAACACAAACCTAGCTGTGGGCCCTCTACTAATCATCTGGGCAGCATTTGAATTTCTCCTGAGCAGCTGCACAAGCACACAGCTCACGGGGAATGCTGCCTCTGACCCACATTTCCTCAAGGGCATTACACTTAGGTCTCAGGGCTCCAGCGTCACCTTTCTCAGGGTGGAATCCCACAATTCTCACTCTCTCCAGTCCAGTTCCTTAGGTGCAGAGCCCTGCAATTTACTGTGATTGACTCAGTAGCTCTGACTTTAGTTACATGCAGTTCTCAGGGGTAATGACAGAATTATCTAGTCATCAGCCAGTTTTGTAAAGCAATAAGCAGTTATTGTTGAGAGTTCATGGAGGGTTAGGGAGGTCCCTGAGGCTTGGCAAAGGGCAAATACTCTCTTGAAAAAGGGATAAAAAGAAGACCTGTGGAATTATAGACCATTCAGCCTAACTTTGATACCCTGAAAGATATTGGAACAAATTAAACAATTAATTTATAAGCACCTAGAAAATAACAAGCTGTTAAGTAATAGCCAGCATGGATTTGTCAAGGACAGTTAAATCAAACTACTGTATATTCCAGCGTACAAGACGACCTCTGATGTTAAAAAACATCCCCCAAAAATCGGGGGTTGTCTTGTACGCCGGGTATACATCCCAGGCGCGCCTGGGATGCCCCTGCCACCGGAGCCCCTCCGCGGCTTTGTGGGGAGAAACCCACAATTCTCACTCTCTCCAGTCCAGTTCCTTAGGTGCAGAGCCCTGCAATTTACTGTGATTGACTCAGTAGCTCTGACTTTAGTTACATGCAATTCTCAGGGGTAATGACAGAATTATCTAGTCATCAGCCAGTTTTGTAAAGCAAAGTACCAATTATTCACAACAAGAATTGAGAAAAAAATATAAACAATAAACAGCTTATGTGCACATCTTGTTTACTACATGGTCACCTCTCTTCCATGTGAAGGCCTCGGCAAGACTAAAATATTTTGGGTCTTACTCTGTTTATAAGCCTCTCGTGCCTGTCAGTTACTGAATAATTTGACTGTATCTCAGGTCAGGGTTGTTATTTTATGAAGTTTCAAGTCCTTTGTCTGCTAAGACCTCTGATGCATGTCAGATTAGTCTGTGTGCTTTTTTCCTCATGAGGTTGAATCATCAAAGTTAGTTGCATTGTTTCAGTATTAGAAATATGCATTAGTTACCCTACTTCCTTTAGTTCCTTCAGGAAGCATACTGTATCTTATCATTTTTAGCTAGGAATATAAAAGCTAATGGTCACATATAGATGCATACAACATTTTTAAAGTCAATCTAATAGTCTTTGAATATACTACAGCATTTTTCATGTGGATGAGATGGGCGAGAGCATTATGAAGCTTCTTTTTTGATGCTGTCATTGTTGGAACCCTTTGCTCCACAGGTGTTCGAGCGAGGGCTGCAGTCCATCCCCCTCAGCATGGACCTCTGGATCCATTACATCTCTTACCTGCAGGCTACCTTAAATATGAACCTTCCTGAGTCCATACAGAAGATCCACAGGTACATAGCCAGAGTATTAAAAACACAGGACAACACTGTGCAAGGCATTAGGGGAGCCTGTAATACTGATACGAATCATTAGTGAAATACTAGAAGATTCAGGGATGTGGCTTTCTCTGGGGTGGCTGTTTGTATTGCACTGGTGGCAAGAACTTAACCATAATGCTGTGCTCTGTGCAGATTTATAGGGGGAGAGAGTCTTTGTCCTAAAAATGCAATAGAGTCTAAATAGGCAAGACAAAAGGTGGAGAGGAAAAAGAGGAGAAGCAACTTGCCTATGAAATCAGAATAAAACTTACATGCTGTTAGCTGGAGTACTGTGACTGATTTTGCCCCCACACTTTAAAAAAGACATGAACAAAATGGAGTGAGTTCAAAGGAGAACAACAAAAATAAGAAGATTAGAAAAACATGACAGAAAATAAAAAGTTGAAAGAATTGGGCATGTTTAGTCTAGAGAAGAGAAGACTGAGGGGGGACTTAAACTTTTAAATAGGTAAAATAGTGTTACAAAGAGGACAACAATCAATAATGTTACATGTTTGCTGAGGATAGGATAAGAAGTAATTGACTAAGTTTGGAACAAGGGAGATTGAGGTATTAAGAAAAACTTTGATTCTAATGATAGTTAAACTCTGGAACAGATTACATAGGGAGGTTGTAAAATCCCCATACCTGGAGGTTTTTTGGAACAGATCAGACAAACACCTGTCAGGAATGATCTAGGATGTACCTCTGTAGATAATGGAGGCGGATGAGATGACATCCTGAATTCCTTCCAGTCCTACATATGTTTTTCTCTGATTGTCTCCTTTGAAGCTCTGCTGACCAGTGGGTGCTCTTCCCTGGGACTGGTCTGACACAGTTCCTGAATTAACTGCATCTCTGACCAATGTTCTCTCTGATCTTTTCTATCCATGTGCGGAATAAAGTTTTTATGTGAACTGAGGCAATTGCAAATGTGTACTACCAGTAAAAACACAAACCTAGCTGTGGGCCCTCTACTAATCATCTGGGCAGCATTTGAATTTCTCCTGAGCAGCTGCACAAGCACACAGCTCACGGGGAATGCTGCCTCTGACCCACATTTCCTCAAGGGCATTACACTTAGGTCTCAGGGCTCCAGCGTCACCTTTCTCAGGGTGGAATCCCACAATTCTCACTCTCTCCAGTCCAGTTCCTTAGGTGCAGAGCCCTGCAATTTACTGTGATTGACTCAGTAGCTCTGACTTTAGTTACATGCAGTTCTCAGGGGTAATGACAGAATTATCTAGTCATCAGCCAGTTTTGTAAAGCAAAGTACCAATTATTCACAACAAGAATTGAGAAAAAAATATAAACAATAAACAGCTTATGTGCACATCTTGTTTACTACATGGTCACCTCTCTTCCATGTGAAGGCCTCGGCAAGACTAAAATATTTTGGGTCTTACTCTGTTTATAAGCCTCTCGTGCCTGTCAGTTACTGAATAATTTGACTGTATCTCAGGTCAGGGTTGTTATTTTATGAAGTTTCAAGTCCTTTGTCTGCTAAGACCTCTGATGCATGTCAGATTAGTCTGTGTGCTTTTTTCCTCATGAGGTTGAATCATCAAAGTTAGTTGCATTGTTTCAGTATTAGAAATATGCATTAGTTACCCTACTTCCTTTAGTTCCTTCAGGAAGCATACTGTATCTTATCATTTTTAGCTAGGAATATAAAAGCTAATGGTCACATATAGATGCATACAACATTTTTAAAGTCAATCTAATAGTCTTTGAATATACTACAGCATTTTTCATGTGGATGAGATGGGCGAGAGCATTATGAAGCTTCTTTTTTGATGCTGTCATTGTTGGAACCCTTTGCTCCACAGGTGTTCGAGCGAGGGCTGCAGTCCATCCCCCTCAGCATGGACCTCTGGATCCATTACATCTCTTACCTGCAGGCTACCTTAAATATGAACCTTCCTGAGTCCATACAGAAGATCCACAGGTACATAGCCAGAGTATTAAAAACACAGGACAACACTGTGCAAGGCATTAGGGGAGCCTGTAATACTGATACGAGTCATTAGTGAAATACTAGAAGATTCAGGGATGTGGCTTTCTCTGGGGTGGCTGTTTGTATTGCACTGGTGGCAAGAACTTAACCATAATGCTGTGCTCTGTGCAGATTTATAGGGGGAGAGAGTCTTTGTCCTAAAAATGCAATAGAGTCTAAATAGGCAAGACAAAAGGTGGAGAGGAAAAAGAGGAGAAGCAACTTGCCTATGAAATCAGAATAAAACTCAGGTCTCCTGAGTGCCAGTCCAGTGCTCCACCCATTAGATCATGCTGCCGTTCTTTCTCCTTTACAGTGTGTTTGAGTCAGCCGTAGCTGCTGCAGGAATGGACTTCCGCTCAGACAAATTGTGGGAGATGTACGTGGAGTGGGAAAGAGAACAAGGTGATCTGAAATGCATCACTACTATTTATGACCGAGTGCTCGCCACACCAACCCAGATGTACAGCCACCACTGGGAAAAGTAAGTCTTATTCAGAATGAAACAAATCCCTGGATCTCAGCACTAACTGCCATAGTTTGGCAGTAATTGGTTCCCTCCCTTTGCAGAGAGACTATGTGTTGATTGGGGTAAGCCGTGTAGACTGTCCCTCTTTCTTTTTCCCTAGAAGAGGTGTGTTTGCAAGGTATCATAGGAATAATCTGTCTGGACATAGAAATTAGGTTTAATAAAGGAATGATAACAGCACCATTCTACCTCACTTGGGGGTGGGGGAGGGGAGTGAAAAGGGGATTGTGAGGCACTCAGATGCTGCACAAATGGGAACATCTCTTTACAAAAAATTTCAACTAGCAATTTGGCGTCTTGGGAAGGGGCTGTCTCGGAATATCTGAGATGATTTACATGTTGAAATTCTCTGCTCTGTTATATAAGGAGCTCAGGATAGATGATCTCATGGTCTGTTCTGGTCTTAAACATTGTGAGTTACCTGACTGGACCAGGCCCAAAGTCCATCTAGTTCGGTATCCTGTCTGTAACAGTTGCCCATCCCAGCTGTTTCAAAAGAAGGCATAAAAGCTCTGGATTAGCAGACATGGATTAATATGGTTCCTACATTTAGGTTCCTCCTGATCTCTAATGTTGGAGACTGGCTTTACCTGTGAAGCTTGAGGTTTAATATCCCTTCCACAGTATTTATTGTCATTAATTATTCCAACTCTGGATTTTTTTATAGCCATGTAAGAATCCATTTACCCCGTGAGATTCCCGGGGATGTATGGGGCAGTAAGAATAGGACCTCTGTACCCTTCCAAGCATGCCTTAAGAGGCGACTAAGGAGGGTTGGGCATGGAGCTAGCAACCCCATCCTGTAAAAATATGCTACAAAAACATCAACAATTTCAATTTGAATAGCAAGCCAGCCTTCCTTGACTAAAAGAGGCCCTCAAAGAGGGGTTATGATGCGGGGCAGCTAAACCTGAAAGGATAGAAAAATTTGCACTCTTGCTGTCACCAGAGGCATGGGAACCTGCAGGGCCAAGAAGTATCCTTGCAACATTCAGGACCATAAACAGTAAGATCATTGGCCTGAAGTGGTCTGACAGGGTTAAAACATTAGCTTATGGGAAAGAGCAGAGCAATGCCCAGTAGAGCAACAGATTTTGAGAAGAAGATGGCGATGGATTGGCCATACACTGAGGAAGCCACCAGATAGCATTACCAGACAATCCCTATCCTGGAACCCACAGGGGAAAAGGGGACGAGGAAGGCCAAAGACTAGTTGGAGAAGAGACCTGGATGTGAATGTGAGGAAAACTGGCAAAAGCTGGAGAGAATTAGAAAAGGTGACACATGACAGAGAAGCTTGGAAAGAAATTGTTGATGGCCTATGTTCCCATAGGAGCTAAGAGCAACGAAGAAGAAGTATCCATTTATTCTTTTAATCTGGAAGAGTTTTTAACCTATTCCATAGATTAGATAACCACACTTTCTATGGCTCATTGTGGAACTTAATACTGAGGTTAAATTCACACACAAAATTCACAAAAATATATCTTTTGCAACTTGTAAACCATCACAGTTATGCTGGGACAGCCCCCTACACATCGCTTTCCCAAATAGCCAAGTTCCTAGCTGAAATTTTTTGTAAAACAGATATTCCTATTTGTGCAGCATCTGAGTACTTCTCAATCTTTTAATGGCTCCATGATCCCCTTTCTACTCTCCTTTCCCCAAGTGAATGGGAGAATGGTGCTATTATCCCATCTTACAGATGGGGAGCTAAGTGACTTGTCTAGGTTCACAGAATGAGTTTGAAGGAACATAAATTAAATCAGTTTCTCCCCAGTCTCAGGTTGGTCCAGTAGTTAGGATACTATCCTTCTTCTCAACCCACTTGCTGCCATTTTCACAGTTAAACTGTGGAAATCTCTTTGACGGGGCATTGAAGGCAGACATCTTAGTTAGTCTGAGGAAATGATTAAATACTTTAATTTTCCATCTTTAAGTTCCAGAGGGTAGCTGTGTTAGTCTGTTTGCATACAGCAGTTCCTCTGCTTTTGGCTCTTCAGAGCAGTTTGAGTGGCCAGACCTAGAGGTCCTCACTGTGACTTGAGTGGGCTTTGGTGGAGTATATCTGTCGTCATCTATTTTTCCTTCCTCCCATCTTTCAGGTTCAAGGAGCATGTGATGAGCAACTCCCCTAAAGACATCCTGTCTGCAGAGGAGCTGCTCTGGTTGCAATCCAAGATCACCACAGGAACTGTACAGAAGCGTGTGGAGACAGAGGTGGAAGAGGTGCCACCCGGGGAAGACTTGCCTCCAGGGGTGGAAGTCAAGCCAGAAAAAGGAGCTGATGCCCAGGTACCCTGACAGTTGCAGACTGTGACAGTTATACTGAGTTGGCATCTACTGTCAGGGTGGTGGTTGTTGTTGTTTGTGTTACAGTAACACAGAGAGGCCCTGACTAGTGATGGGAATGGGCTCTATTCTGCAGGGTGCTGGGCAAACACTTAGTGAGACAGTCCCTGCTCTGAAGAAGTTAGAATCTAAATAGACAAAAGATGGAAGGTAAAAATGGAAGCAAAGACAGGAAAAGGGACTTTCCCAGGATAAGCGGTGAATGACAGCCAGGAGTAGTAGTCCAGTCTCTCCTGGTTCGCAGTCCAGGGTATGCTTCACTCTCAAATAGACATGAGAGATTGCTGCAGACTTGACTCCTCTTCTCCCACCAAGAACTCACTCTGTACTGCGTCTTGCAGACTCCAATGCAATATGAGATTTCCTCAGTTTTTGCATGTGAAGGCCTACACAGTACTCAAGGTTTCCACTTTGGAGCATTTTCCCAACCTGGAGAACTGCAGGAATTGGTGGTAGTGACCTCATTATGGATCACTTATTACTGTAAGCCATGATACCTTAACATGATAGAAAGGATTAAGATGTGAAACCTAGAATCTTGTTATTGAAGATACCCTGGCAGTTCTTGTCAAAGACAGCCTGTGACCCTCCTTTTTTGGCCACATTATGACGTACTCCAGCTACGTGCTGGCTCCTTGAAATTCTCCTCTTTTAATTTCATTTGAATTAAGAAGCCTGCTTCACCAACTGTTTTAAAGCTTTAGATAGCATGGCTGTGCTCCACATCAGAGGCAGCCATTATATAGTGATCCTTTCACACATGGTTTCTTAAGATCTAAATGAGATGGAAGGTACTATAAAGACGTAGGTTATTACCATCTCTTTTCTCTGGTTCCTCTTCCAGGGAGACCTGGACCAGGACAAGATCCGGGAGCTCGTTATCTCCATCCGACAGCAAGTGTATACCCAGAACGAGACAGAAGTCAGCAAGCGCTGGAACTTTGAGGAAGGGGTAGGTAGCCATGGACTCAGCTGTAGGAAAGACTCCATGGCATGGACGAGGTGCTTAGCAGCATCCACTATCTGAGTTGATACCTCAGTCCCTATGTGCAGAAGCCTTAGGTTCTGTTTGGTGAAGGGAAAAACATGGAAGGTTTTGGCAGGAGTTCGCAGAAGTCTTTGTGTAGTTTCACACAGCCATCTCTAATGGAATGATCTAAAGCCAGAGGGGATGGCTCAGTGCTCTCAGTATTATGTTAGTCCTACCTAGACTTCCCATGGTGGAATCATTACTTCATCCTTCTGATGTAGTTAAGCTGAGCATGGTGTTGTAGTGGGGGGCTGGCAGACGTAGGGCATAACCTGAGCTCCTGTCTTTACATGAACTCAAGATTTCATAGTGCTTTTTGTAAGAGAGATAACTGGCCACATTTTGCTTCCTTTGCTGCTGTGTATTGTGGGTTTCCTCTCATCTCACCTCCAGAGATGGCTGCATTTGCTGCCTGGATAGCATTTCACAAACTATATCAGGATAGGTGAGGGGATGTACTATTATGGTGCCCCTTCAACAGCTCCTCCCAGGGCTGAACGCTGCTTTGAATGTCTGCTAATATCTTGTGACATCGAAGAATCCTAGTCAGGGCTGCATTGTACAAGGCACTGTAAAGCTAAATACAGTTTCTGCCCCTGAGAACATTTTCACTATGTTAACTCTCCCATGCCATCCTGTGACAGAGCTTGCTTTCTCTGCAGCCCTCTCTTACCTGTCTTGAGAACCTCTGTTTATTCCTCCCCACCCAAAACATTTTGCAGATCAAGAGGCCATACTTTCATGTCAAGCCCCTGGAACGAGCACAGTTGAAGAACTGGCGCGACTACCTTGACTTTGAGATCACCAGTGGCTCCCATGAGCGCACCATTGTGCTTTTTGAGCGCTGTGTCATTGCCTGTGCCCTTTACGAGGAGTTCTGGATCAAAGTGAGCACCTTCCTTCTTTCTCCTCCTCCCTAGGGGTTGCCCCGCATGTCTGAATCTTGCTGACTTCACGCTGAAGATGGGCAGTGCTGTGCTCCCCTCTTTCTCACACACCACTCCGGCTCTGCTTCTAAGGCAGTTAAGGGGATGCTATAAAAATCTCCTCATAGCTGTGTGTTGTCTTAGCCCTGGAAGATGTTTACCATATTTTCATATGTCTGAAGACAGACAGGAAATAAGCCAAAACCTCGCTGCAGTCCCAAATGTTCAAGGATTTGTGTCTATATTCTGCAGCTAAGAGCAAATTTTAACTTGAATACTTCCGGCTGCTTTTTTTTTTTTTTTAATGGCTGTGGGTAAAGGGGGAAGCATCTGCCAAATCCTTAGGGCACACGGGCCTACTGGGGTTTACAGACCTGGAACAGAATTGTTGGATGGCGTCTCTTGCTGTTTCACAGGTTTGAAGTAAATTGCATTTACCCTCTAGCACTAGGCAGGGTCTAGCAATTCTGCTCCGCTTTAGCATTGGGCAGAGTCCCCTAGCTCTTGGACTAAGCCAGCAGCGTCTTGTGGGGTGGGGGTATAAATGCTCCGTGGGAATCAGAGTTAATTCTGCACCAGGGCCTGTCATCCCTTCCCACCCTGGCTGTTGCCCACATTTACTTGTGCAGTCAGCACGAGTTCAGGTGGTGCTCTCTTACGGATTTCCAAACGTTTCATTTATTTTTTTTTATTCTGCATGTATATTGTGGAGCAAAATTCTAACACCCTTCTTTTAAATTCCGTTGCTGCTTTTTATCTGCCCGTGTTTCCTACCTGCCTAAGAGGGTGCAGGAAATTCTGAAGAGAGGTGTGTTAAGCCCCTTAACGTGAGTGCACCATAACCTTCTCAATACAAGCTGATGTAGCAGACTTTCATACATTCTATGCCACAGAAAGTGGGCAACCTTAACGCATTCTTGTTTTTTTTGTATCCCCACTCCTTCTAATCTAGTACACGAAATACCTTGAGAACCACACTGTGACTGGGGCCAGGAGTGTCTTCCAACGAGCTTGTGGCTACCATCTCCCCAGGAAGCCTAACATCCACCTCCTGTGGGCTGCATTTGAAGAGAAGCAAGGTTAGAGGAAACTTACCCTATCTGCACCCCTCTGCTGATTTGCTGACCTCAGAAACCCTTGGTTAGCTGGAAGTTGACTTTATTAAGCAGTTCAATAGTGGGAGAAGTGGAAGAGTTTCTCATTGACATGTCACTAAGCCCACCCAACCCACTGTTTTGGAGTGTTCGCAACAGCCTGTTCAGTGAATCTTATTGAAAGGTTGAGGCCAGATCTTAAGGGACAGACATGACTGATTTAATTCTGGACTCTAAAATTAGCTCTTCAGGTGCTAGTCTCTCCCAGAATGCTTAGTGGGCAAAAGAATCTGGAAATACTGGGTTAAGATTTTAAAATCAGCTAGTGAGTTTTAGTGCCCAGCTTGACACCTGATGTTTTCTTAGGGGTTGAATGCTTAGTAGTTTGAAAATCCAGGCTCCTTTAAGATATCTCAAGTTGAACAAAATCACTAACCATTTCTCTTGGCTCTGGCCCACTTGCTTATAAACTCACATATAAGTTGGGAAACCGCACTGGGGTGTGTCTTAAAACCCCCAGTAGAGAAGAGCTGCAAAAATTATTTGAGAGTTGGAAAAAAAATTTTGGAGAGGCTTAAGGAGCTCAATCTCTTTAGCTTACAAAAAAAAATCAAGAAGTGACTTGATTATGGTGTACCTTCATGGAGGAGGGGGGAAATATTAGATACTTGAGGGACAGATAGTTAAAGAAAGGCAGAACAAGAACTGATGGCTGGAAGTTAAAGCCAGACCAATTCCCATTAAAACAAGGCATGTTTTAAACAGAATGACCTCCCAAGCAAAGTGGTGGATTCTCTCTCTCGAGGTCTTCAAATGAAGACTGGATGTCTTCCTGGAAGATATTTCCATCAATTACATGGGGGGAAATGGCTGATTTACTAGTTTATATTACACAGGAGATCAGACTAGACAATCTAATGGTCTCTTCTAGCCTTCATCTGTGAACTGCTGCTTAGTAAGGGACACAGAAACTAAGGAGCTTCTGCCCTCAACCGTTTCCTTTAGCTGCATCCATGTGTTTAAAATGTGTTCTTGTCAGATTTATATTGATTTCAATTGCAAATATTGGCCTCTACCATGTTTAAATTGCAAACCCAAGACCATGATGTGTATCCGTGATGGTGCGCTATCCCCTTCAGTCTTTACAGGCTTAAAGCGGAGGTTAGATGATTTGGAAAATGCCGCTAAATCCTTTAAGCCCCCTAGTGTGGTAAGTTTTGCCTTTGAAACGAGTGAGACTCTCGTACACCATAGATTTAAAGCAAAATAAATATAGCCTCTAAATTCACCGAGCACCACATGTGCTTGCCATGCTACCTGTCTTCACTGCCATTGTCACCCCTCCCACATCTGTGCAGGAGATCTGGAGGAGGCACGTCGCATCTTGAAGTCTTTTGAGGAGTCCATCCCTGGGCTAGCCATGGTTCGGCTGCGGAGAGTAAGCTTGGAGCGGCGACATGGCAACCTGGAGGCAGCTGAAGCTCTGCTGCAGGAAGCCATACGGGACAATGAGGGGATGCCCCTGGCCTCATTTTATGCCATTAAGCTGGCCCGACAGGTGCTGAAAGTTCAGAAGAATCTAATAAAGGCTCGGAAGATTCTCATGGAAGCATTAGAGAAAGATCCGGTGAGATTTTGGGAAGGGGAGGGTGATGCTCCCAAGAAGACTGCAGAAGGGTATCTTGGTGAGACAGTGTCTTTATCCATATAGCCCTGGTATCCGCAGATACCATTATTGTAGATATGGATGCTGATAGCTATTTTATATCTAGAACTCTGAAAATTTGAGGATATCCACGTTATATACACAGCTATCCTCAGGGCTCGACAAATAATGCAATCTACTCACCCGTGGCGAGTAGATTGAAACTCAGAAGAGCTGGGTTCAAGCGATCTGCGCATGCGCAGATCGCCGGACAGCGCAACTGGCGAGCAGGGCTTGCCGTGGTTCGGTGAGCCCTGGATATCCTCATTCATGGATGCAAATATCTGTGGCTCATTTTTGCAGATATGGATGAGGATACAATTGTATTTGTGCAGGGCTCTATCTAGGAGGGAGCAGATGCTGTGGAAGACTGTACAGCATAATTGCATATTTTTATTAGTATATTGATTGCCTCTAGGCTCCTGCTAAGATTGATGGGGTTCTAGGTACTGCACACAGACTGTGACCAAAATGGGAAGAGGGCATCCTTTTATGGTGCTGGTCACCACACAGGCACCAAGTGAGACTTCCCTGCTGCCCCAGAGAGCTCACAGTAGTCAAGGTTTGTGAGGGGTGTAAGATTGTCTAATGTGGCTCATGGGTGTGAGTGCCAACCTCACAGAGGACACCCCAAACCGGTGGTGTTTTCTATAATTAGATTTCACTAACCTAGTAACAAATGTGAACTCATGGATCATTATAACAGTCTTATCATGGAGACATAGACAGTGCCCTTAGACTTTCCAGTCTTTATTGCCACTAGACAAACTGGACTTAGTGATTAACAGTCACTTATACCCAAAATCTTGCCACATTCAGATTGCTTCCAGTCCAAAGAGACCACTCACTTAACTACAGATCAGTTAGTACCTTAGATCTTACACCAAAGAGAATGCCTGAAACCAGTCGTTTAATTAAACTATGTAAAGATTTATTAACTAGGCAAAAGAAATAAAAGTTATTTACAGGTTAAAGCAAGCAAACATACACACACACATGAGTTACAGTAACACTCCAGTTGTCCGGCAGCCAGTGGTCCGGCACTCCTGCTAGTCTGGTACCACCTGGAACCCGGACGTGCTCCAGGCAGCCGGACAATTGGAGTTGCTCTGCCCTGGCCTTCCCCGAGTCAGCCGCTGGTCAGTTTCAGCAGCGGCTGACTTGGGGACGCCCGGGGCAGAGCGCTGCTGGGTTGGTCCCGTAGCGCCGCCCCTCGGATTCAATTTAGAATCTAATCTCTCAGAGTTCAAACAGACAGAAAGATGGAAAATTTTCCTGAGACTGTTTTTTTTCCTTCATTCAGCTTCCAAGTCCACAGGACAAGCTTCCTTGCTTATAGCATTTACCAGTTGTGATAGGGCAATTAACCAGTCTGTTGTTTGGTGATTTTCTTTGATGGCATCTGATTTCGATAGTCCTTCTGGATGGGTGGGAGGCATATGCTCCAGTGTATAATTTCAGAGAAAATGTTTTCAAAATTATAAAGCAAAATGTACATATTTTCTTATGCATGGAAAACAGGCATTGCAAGTGAGATTAATGTATGCAGCAATTTACAAGCATTTCATAGAGTCTGAACACTAAGAATGATACCTATTTTCAGCAAAACAAATATACAGGTGAACTGGTCTAGTCTCCAGGTACAAGTTTATTCACTGTTAGATTATGTCTGCCTCCTGGGCACAAGCTGGTATTTGTGAAAGGCACTGAGAAAGTAAAACTACACTTCAGCCTGATGTTTTGGAGTGGCCCAGTCAATCAACTTTTAATATGAAAGCAGTCAGGTGAAGATTTATGGGAGTGTGGGGTATGGTAAGTAAGGATCAAAGGGCAACAACCACTCATTGGCTGTTTTGGCTTCTTTTGGAATCAAAGTCTTAGTTGAATTCCAGGTTGGACCAGTCCATTCTGCCTCTCACTCACACTTGCAACTGTGTGTGATTATTTTGCTTCTTGTACTAAATCATGGTGCATTATTTTGCTGTGGGTCAGCAGCTATTATGCTCCACTCCAGAGATAGCTACGTTTTGGTAGGGCAGGAGGGATTCCCATAGATAAATGAAGAAGCAATTCACAACAAGAGCAGCTGGGGAATTTTTTGAGTGCTGGAGAGACCACCCCATAATTCCTAGAGCTGAAGGTTATGCATCCTTGGTCCTAAGATATATATTGTCAGCAGGGAGATTTCAGCAAAACTTCTCTGGTGCCTTCTTAACATATCTTTTTACTCCTGGGCCAAGCACCACATCTCTGATATTTAATTCTCCCCCATGTCATGTAGGAAAATGCAAAGCTCTACACCAATCTCCTGGAGATAGAGTTCAGCGCTGATGTCAGGCAAAATGAAGGCAACACCATGAACTGCTTTGAGAGAGCCCTGAACAGTGGCCTCCCTGAGGAGACCAAGATTGTCTTCTCACAGCGGAGAGTGGAGTTCCTTGAGGACTTTGGTTCTAGCATACACAGGTAAGAGAATACCCTATTAGTGTGGGGCTGTTTCTGAGACCCTCACCTCTTGGGTACAAAAAGTCAGATAATAATATCTGACCCGTCTACAGTGCTTGTATTCAGCAGATCCTGAAGTTGGCTGGTACCATTATCCCCCATTTTACAGACGGGGGAAATTGAGGCATAGGAGTTGCCCAGGATCACCCAAAAGGCCAGTGGTAGAGCTAGTAATAGAGCCAAGGCCTCCTGCATCCCATTCCAGGGAGTACTGGGATGCCACACTGCCCCTTGTGCCAGTACCCAGAGAGCAGAGTGTTCTTACAGTTCTCCTTCACTCTGAAAGATACCTGATTGATGGTTCTAGATTCGAGAATTAAGCTTTCTGCTCTTACAGAATCCTCTAGCTCTGGAACTGACTTTGGGTTAAACTGTAATTAATGGAGTAATGCCAGTAATGGAGTAATGCCAGCCCCCTGTCCTTGAATTACCTCTAGGGACAGTAGTTGAGACTTGAGGGCTTAATCTTCCATCTTTCAAGTCTGCCAATAAGGGAGCCAGTCTAAAGTCAGAAGAGACTTGGGCTAGAAAAGTTGAGCCATAGAGATCCTCTTGAGACTGTCACCTGATGGGCTGATCATACCACTGAGTCTGCCTACCTGACCTTTGGGGCACTCCACCACCATGTCTGGCTGAGCCAGAACCTTTGGTCTCCCCCAGCGATGGCACAGAGTTGGGTCATGGCCCACAGCAGAGCAACAAGGACACAGAGTTCCACTCAGCTCTGGGAATGCTCAGTCAAAGGGATTTGACACAGCACCAATGGAACCAGAACCCCAAATTTATCCATCTTTGCATAAAAGTTTTATACAAAGCAAGCTCATAAGTTCACTCCCTTTATCAATGAAAGAGCAAGATGCACAGTTGTTGCCCCCCCATAACAATTATTTACACTGAGTATATTAATAAACAAAAGTGGTTTTATTAAATATAAAAAGCAGCATTTAAATGATTTCAAGTAACAGCAGACAGATCAAATTAAGTTACTAAGAAAAACAAAACAAAATATGCCAGCTAAGCTTACTACTATAAGAAATTTGTTTCAATTTCTTACCCTAACAGTAGTTCTAAAAAATTTTTCTTGCAAGTTAGGCAGCATCCTAACTTGAGCCTGATCCTTCCTCCTGTTCAGTCCTAGATGTTTCCAGCAGTCATCTGGGTGCTAAGCAGAGTGTGTCTTGATGTATGGCAACTGCCTCTATTGTTTGGTTTCCTGCCTACACATAGATTTTACCCAAGGTGGAAAGCATTTGGGTTCAGTTTCAACCCTTTCACACTCCCCATGGAAAAGTACACATCAAATGGGTTCCAGCATCAGGTGACCTGGCCATGTGTCTTGGAAGGACCAATCATAGTTCAGGTGTACAGAAAAGCAAGATCATTCAGACATCATTCACAGGAGCACTGGACCATTAAGTTCCTTGAATACTAGTAATGGCCTTCATTAGCCCATCTAGATATATAAATAGATGTATACTTCATATTTCTAACTTCAAGCACAGGAATGATACATTCACACACACAGGATATGATATATACATTCAGCGGATTACAAGCTTTTCAATGACAGGTTTTGCATAAAACATATTTGAGTTAAGACCTATTCATATTCAAAAACTTATTTCTCTAAAAATATGTGTGCACAATATTACAGGACCACTAGTCTGACCAGCATCTCAACACGCTAGTGGTGAGAATGAGGTCAACAGGAGTAAAATACCCATCTTGTTGCAGGGTAAAGAGTTGGCTCAAATGGTTGGATTTCAGCATGCTACTTCTATTCGCACCCCTGGTAGGAAGCACCAAGAGCTAGTGGAAGCTCGGGGCAAAACAAAGCACTTTCAAAGTTAGAGGTGCAAAAGCTTGCTCTTGTCACCAGTGCAAATGGTAAAATGACTGATATACACGCAGCAAGTTCTCCTGTTCTTGACCATCTGTATTCTTGACCATCTGTATTCCCAGCTTGCTGACAGCGTATGATGAACATCAGAAGTTCCTTAAGCACCAGATGACTAGGAAAAGAGCCCCTGAGAATGGGTAAGGCACAGATGTTACTAATTTTTAAACAGCCTCACATACAGTTGAATAGAGAAGACAGTCAAAATATTATATATGAATTAGATCAGGATGGCCAAACTTACTGATCCTCTGAGCTGCTCATGACAGTCTTCAGAAGTTCAAGAGCCAGGGCGTGCCTGCTGGAGCTTTCTCACAGGAGGTGCTTACCAGGGCTCCAGCCCCACTTCTATTGAAGTACCAAGCCCTGGCAGGCACACCCCACAGGAATGAACCCTGCCCTCCTAGGCAGAAACCGGAGACAACATATGGGGGAGCATGTGGGATCCCTCACAGATTTTTGCCACGATTTGCTGACCCTGCTTGTTACATGGTGTCACCAGGCCCCTCCCAGCATGGAAGCTGATGGAGCCCTCAGGCTGGAAGGTGTGGCTCAAGAGGCCGGGCAGTGCAAACATCTGGGAGCTGCAAGGAATGCTGCTGGTTTTACTTTTGCCTCTCCTTATGGAGCTAAAGCAGCAGCCCCTCCCTGCAGCTCCCATCTGTTTGCTTCCGCCTCTCCATGTGGAGCTAACACCTGGGAGCTGCAAAGAGAGGTCACTGAGCGTAAGGAAGGAATGCCTCGGGTGTGCAATTCAAGCTGTTTGGGGGATAAATCTTTAAATTGTGCCTCCAACTCTCAGCAGGCACCGGTTATCTATAGTGAAAGTCCTTAGCACCACCACCTTGTCGCCCCACAATCCTGCCCCATGCCTAGTAGTTGAAAAATGGGAGAGAGAAGTAGGGGCAATGAACCTCATGCAACTCATGAACTACAGTTTGGCTATCCCTGAACTACTTGATCTCAAGGACTAGAGAAATAGAAATGGGATGAAACTGAATAGCACAAAGTGCAAGCTTGTGCACTTAGAAACTAATAACTTCATCTTTAAATCATGTGCTCGTCAGTTGGAAATGAGGACGAAAAGATGTCAGTGTGTAAGTCAGTTAAGGTATAAGGTTTACTGAGATCCATCAATGTGATGTAGTCATGTAAAGGGCAAATGCAGTCATTTCAGGTGAGAGATTTCCAGTTGAGATAAGGAAGTAATAATGTCATTGGGAAAGGTACTTGTAAGAGCTCATCTGCAGTGCTGTGTGCGAGCCTGGTCATTTGTGTTCAAGAAAGATGAATCCAAAGTGGCATGTTTGCAAGAAGGGCTCCTAGGATGATAGGAGAATGGACAGCCAGTCTGAGTGAAGACTGAAAGAAATGGGTTTGTCTGATCTGGCAAAATGAAGGTTGAGAAGGGATCTGATAGTTCTTTGAGTACACTGGAAGATAAACCTCAAGGAGGGAGAAGAGCTGTCAAACTAAAGAACAATGATGGCACACAAACAAATGGAGATAAATTGGCCAAGAATACAGCTAGACTGAAAATGAGAAGGGTATGAACAATCAGAGGATTGGTATTCTGAAACAGTCTGCCAGTAGAAGTGAATAACCAACAAGTTTGAAGATGGACTTGGATCCCAAGTTTGTAAATAGGATTGTAACATGAGGTTGCCTGTGATAGCATGGATTGGACTCAACACAGGGGATTTCTTCTGATCTGTTTTGTTTTATGGTGCACCAGAGTATGTGCTCAGACAGATCTTGGACTGCTTTCTATCCATATCTGATCTTGAACGTCACCCTACTTGATTAGGACTCTTGCTTGTCAACTGTTGTACACAGACTAAGCAGCATCTTTGATGTTTGACATTTTTAATAAAATAATGCACACGCCAGAGCCCAGACAAAGAGGTGCTGTGTGCCATACTGGATTTCCCCTCTCTGATTCCAGACTCCTCTAGGCCCTGTGCTGTGAACAGAGTTATTGATTGCATTTTAAACTTTTTTCCAGCTGCTCTGATGAACCAGAAGACAAAAAGCTGAGAGCTGAGGATTCTCATGGGATGCTCAATCCTGGGATTACTGCTGCAGGCATGGCACCAGCGATGGGCGGAGACATGAGCACCAATCCAGCAGCCGCTTATAACTACAACACCTGGTATCAGGTCAGCAGTGTTGCACTAATGCAGTTTTCTGAGCCCTGAATGCTAATGCATCTGGTAGGATTGAAATATGTGACATGTTCCCATGTTCTTTCCCTGTTTATAGCAGGATAGCAGCTCTGCTATAATTCAGGTTGCAAGTTGATTACTGATTAAGAAGATTGCTATAAAATCAGTATAGTGACTCAGCATAGTGTGATTACTAGCTGTGTCTTACAGGGACGTGGGAATAGTTAGTGGATCAAATTTGGATGTTGAGCAGTGGAAAAGTAGGTTGTGTTACATTGGTGCTGAGAGATTTTTTTTTTCTTTAAAGAGGAAATTAAATGCTTGAAAATGTCAACATTGCCTTAGTGGTGTCTTATGCTCTTTCAGAATTTAGAGAGTAGCTAAGTTTAAACCACAGAACACCAGGAAATTAAGAGTGAAGGTATATTCCCCATTCTTCCCCAAAAAGCAACCTTAACACTGCCTTTTTTAAGCAGTACCCTGCCTACTATGCCAATAATGTCCATACTAAAACTACCACCTTGCAGATGCTACAGAGCACATGAGCACTGTAGGACCCAGTCTAAGTACCTTCTTTTTGCTAAGACAATCCTTGCATTTAGGTCAGGTGTGATGAACAAGGGCTATTTACACTCAAACATAATGTATTTTACACAGACCATCCCAGACCTGCTAAATGTTACCTCCCCTTCACCCTTACCCTGGGAACTCCTTCTAAGTTATTGCCTTCACTTATCCCTCACAAAGCCTTAGACCACAGACTACCAACAAAACCCCTTTGGCAATCCCTTTGGGTTCTACCATGTGGGCAGGGGACTGGACTCGACCTCTCGAGGTCCCTTCCAGTTCTAGTGTCCTATGATTCTAAGAAGATACCTTTTGTGTACCTCTGTTGACCAAACCTGTAGAACTTGGCAGTTAAAAGAGAAATACTTACTCCTTTAAAGTACATGTGCACCTCCCTTCATATCACAGTAACAGGTCTTCATGATGCTCCTATCAATCCCTTCGCCATTCATTCTACCACTGAACATAAGTGGTGTGCATTCAGATTAATACTGGAATTTGGAACTCTGTAAAACAATGGCATTCTCTCTTAGAATTTCCTTGTATCTGCTTATTGTAGATTCATAGCTTTTAAGGCAAGCAATGAAAATTGGATCTTCTAGTCTGATCACCTGTATAGCACAAACCAGAGAATGTCACCCAGTTGCCTCTATATTGAGCCCAATAACTTGTGATTGACTGAAGTATCCAGTCTGGATTTGAAGTCCTCAAGAGATGGAAAATCCACCATTTCTGTTTATAATTTTATTCTTTACAACCACCTCTCCTGATCTGTTTCTAGTAGCTATTGCCAGCTGTGGGCAGTAAGTAGGCAGAGTTAAGTTTGCATTGAAGGGGTAATAGTATATGTCTTAGTTCCATATTTTCTGGTTTTAAAAGATTTTTGGTTCATCACTGCACATTCTAGAAGAGCATAAGGTAGGGCTGGGGAGCCTTAACTGTGTGTTAACAAAGTTCTAGGGTCTTTAATAAAGAAGAGTGTGATCTCTGGTGATGGGATCAAAGGGCTGGGCTTTAGGATTCCTGGGTTTTGTTCCTAGCTTAGAGAGTTTTTTCAGATGTTTAGGAGAGGGGTGAGAGTGAGTTGTCTGCATTTTATTCCCAATTTTGGATGGGGAATGAGTTCTTATTGCAAAAATAGAGCATCAGGACTCTTAGGGTATGTCTACATTGTATTCCTCTTTTGAGAGAGGAATGCAAATACAGGTGAATGAAATTGCAAATTAAGCATGGATTTGAATTTCCCACGCTTCATTTGTATAATGGCGTCTGGGCACTTTTTCAAAATACCCTATTTCAAAAGAACAAACGCCGTCTAGATGGAGTTATTTTTAAAAAAACAACAACCCTTCTTTCGAAATAACCCTTACTCCTTAAAAAATGAGGTTTAAGGGTTATTTTGAAAGAAGGTTTTTTTCTACCCCCCAACCCAATGCCTCATCCCTCCCCCAGAGCCAGGCACATACCCCTTCTAACCCAGTGCCTCCCCCAGAGCCAGGCACTCCCAGTCCCCCCTCTCCCCCCCCAGCCGAATGCCTGGGTCCTGGAGCTGCCACCACACATTTCTTCCTCTGGTACTGGGGCAGCATGAGCACAGCGGCTGGCTGTGAGCACGTGCTGGAGCACCCAGCGCAGAGCGGCCCAGCCGGCTATAATCTGCAGTCAGCCACATGCTCCAAACGGCCAGCAGGCCGCACTTTATTTTTTTATAAAATGTAGTGGCAGGCTGCAAAAAATTTTGATAGGGCTGTATGCAGCCTGCCAGAGGCCTATTTGACATGCCTGGTCTAGAGGAATTGCTCCATAATTTCAAATTCTTAACCATCATAAAATGTAAACCTCCTTGCTCGAGACCCAATAATTGATTGGTGTTAGGAAGGACGTTCCACTAAGAGTAGGTTATCCCAGGATAATTTGTACAGCAGGTAGGAATGGCCATACTGGGTCAACCAATAGGTCTCTTCAGCCCAGTATCCTGTCTTCTGACAGTGGCCAATGCCAGGTGCCCCAGAAGAAATGGACTGAACAGGTAAACATCAAGTGATCCATCCCATCCAACATTATCCATCCTTTGCCCTGACAAGAGACTAGGAACATCATCCTTGCCTTCCTGGCTAATAGCCACTGATGGACCTATCCTACATGAATGTATCTACTACTTTTTTTGAACCCTGTTAAAGTCTTGGCCTTTGCAACGTTCTTTGGCAAGGAGTTCCACAGGTTCACTGTGCATCATGTGAAGAAATATTTCCTTTTGTTTAAACCTGTTGTCTGTTAATTTCATTTGGTGGCCTCTAGCTCTCATTTACTTCTCATTACACATTTCCCCCTCTTTGCTTTCTTCAGACCAGTCATGATTTTATAGACTTCTGTCATATTACTTTCCCCTCCCGGGCCTTAGTCTTCTCTTGTCCAAGTTGAAAAGTTCCAGTGGGCCTTAGTCTTCTCTTTTCCAAGTTGAAAAGTTCCAGTTCTGTTATTCTCTCCTCATATGTTAGCCATTCCACACCCCTGATCTCTTTTTTTGAGATGAGGCAACTGCATCTGCGCACAGTATTTAAGATGTGGACATGGATTTATAAAGCGGCAGTAAGATATTTTCAGTCTTATTATGTATTCCTTTCTTCCCAACATTCTGTTTGTTTTGACTGCTGCTGAACTTTGAGTGGATGTTTTCAGAGAATTATCCACGGTGACTCCAAGATCTTTCTCAAATGGTAATAGCTAATTCAGATACCCAGGTTTTGTATGTATAGTTTGGATTATGTTTTCCAATATTCATTGCTTTGCATTTATCAGCATTGAATTTCATCTGCCATTTTGTTGCCCAGTCACCCAGTTTTGTGCGATTTTGAAGCTCTCCACAGTATGCTGTGGACTTAATTATCTTGAGCAGTTGAGTTTCATTTGCAAATTTTGCCACCTTACTGATTACCCCTTTCTTCAGACCATTTATATGTTCAATTGATGCCAATATAGAACCCTGAAGGACACCACTAGTTTAGTTACCTCTATCCATTCTGAAAACTGATATTTATTCCTACTCTTTGTTTCCTATCTTTTAATCAGTTACCAATCCATGAGAGTGGACCTTCCCTCTTATCCTGTGACAACTTAACTTTACTTTAGGGTATTTGGTGAGGGATCTCGTCAAAGGCTTTCTGGAAATTGAATATACTATATCTACTGGATCCCCCTTGCCCAGATGTTATTGGCCCCCTTACAGAATTCTAGTAGATTGGTGTGGTGTGACTTCCCCTCACAAATACCATGTTGACTCTTCCGCAAACTGTGTTCATCTATGTATCTGACAATTATGTTTTTTAAAGATAGGCTTCCCAGCCTGTAAGTGCAAGGATCACCTTAGGGATGTAAGAGAGCTTAAGCTTATAGGGTAGTTGTCCACTACTTGGATTCTCTCCCCCACCCCTGCTGCTGACTCTATATCAGAGACAGCAAGGGGCAGAAGCACGGTCTCCGCTTCCCTCCCCTGCACTGCCTCTATTAGAGGCAGTCTGAGGGAGGCTTCTCTAGCAGCAGCCCCTGTCCGCAGGGTGTCCCAGCTTCCCGCTGGGACCCTTTGTTGACAGAAGCTGCTACTGGCTGGGCTGGCAGCCCCACTCAGTCCCTGCTTGTGTTGGGTTGGGGACTAAACCCTGTTGTGGCTCTGCAGTTTAAAATTCAATAAGACCTGGGGGGCTGGCTGCCCAACTCCTACTGCCCTTTAAATTGTAGAGCTGCAGCGGGATTTGGACCCAGCGCGAGCCATGACTTAGGCTTCCCCTATTGAGTAGTCAATAAAAATTCTAACAACTATTCAATTACTAAAATAAACCTCAATTTAACATGCCTAGATCACCTCTGGAGCCCTTTTTAAAAATCAGTATCATATTAGTCATTTGGTACAGAGGATGATGTAAAAGGATAGGTTACAAATCATAGTAATTCTGTAATTACCCATTTGAGTTCCTTTAGAACTCTTGGATGAGTGCCATCTGGTTTTGGTGACTTGATACTATTTAACAATTTGTTCCAAAGCCACCTCTAATGACACCTTGACCTGAGACATTTCCAGAGTTCTGTCACCTAAAAAGAACGTCTCTTTTGGGACTCTTCCTCATGTCCTTAGCTGTGAAGACTGACGTAGAACATTCATTTAGTTTATCAACAATGTTCTGATCATCCTTTAGTGCTGGTGTTTTTTGGTTGGGTTTTTTTTTTTTTTTTGGTTGTTTGGTTTTTTTTGCTATTTGACTAGTTCAGATTCTTTTTTGGCCATCTTAATTATGTTTCTTTCATTGCTTCTGTTACTTAGCTTGTTAACCACAGTGACTTTTTGGGTTCTCTTTATTTGGGGTTATACATTTAAAATTGGCAGGAGGGTAGCTACTGTCCACGATCAGACAGGATATGGGACTAGGAAGTGAATCACTGATCTGATCCACTATAGCAAACTTCACTTTCCTAGCCTAGTCCATTGTTACTGTGAGCTGTTTAACAATGGTTATATTGCATTCTAGAAGTGGATGAAATGCTTCCTTTATGTATAGTATTTTAGATCCTTTGGGTTAAGGGTGCTATAGAAATTTAGTTATGGTGGCTTCACTGTCAAAGGGGAAGAAGTTAGTATTGTGCTTTGCCACACTGTAATTATGTCCTCTGTTCTGTTTCAAATGCAGAACTACGGCGTCTACGGGTATCAAAATCCATGGAACTACAACCAGTATTACCCACACAGCTGAAAGTGACAAAGTGTGAGAGATGCAATCAGTTCAAAAGATCAAGGAGCAGCCACTTTACATTTGCTTCCAAGAAAAGACATGAAAGGAAAGTGGCTATTGACTCTCTGTAAGAGAGAGAAACTGAACTGTCTTATTAAAGTCCCATTTCTCCCCTCATTGTGGTGCCCTAACTCCTTCCTTAACCCACAGTATGAACTGGGTTAGATCATGTCTGATCTTCATCTCCAATGGTGGCTACTGCCTCTTTGCACTGAATTGATCTCTTTTAGTGGGGAAAGTCTAAGAATCATTTCCTGTCTGTGGTGAATTCAAACTAGCCTCACTGCAGACCAACAGGGATCCAAAAGCTGAAGTCACTTGGCAACAGCAACCCATGAATGATTCCTTACTTGGTGCTCATAGAGCAGAAGTTTTTTTTAAATTAACTTTATTGCAACAATCACCCAGGGAAGGGTCATTTTGTAAACTTTTCCTGTACATTTCATGTGGTGTAAATAAACATACAATTAATCAGACCGTATTCTTCTGTGGAGCAAAAGATGGAGTTTTGTTCATGTGGGTGTCGTAGTACAGTTCTCTCTTGGCAAACAATATTGTGCTAATATGATAACATGAGTTTTCCTGTTTTTGATGGGGTATAATATAGAGGTTACTGGAAACTTGTGCCCCTGTGGTTCCTTGCAGCTGGTTCATCTGGATCTAGATTAGTTATAAGCAAGAACACATCATCCTTAGCAGGGGACAGATAGTATTAATCAGCACAAAGAAAACAGAACTGTTTGTTTATTTAAAACCCCTTGTTCAACAGCCACTCTTTCAGTTCATTGTCAAAATAGCCTTTAATACGGATGCTAGCAGTGACTTCATTGACTTGAATAGGTGGTGGTTTCCCAGCAAGCTGAGTGAGGAACTCCTTAACTTCCTTCTCCAGGGCCTGAAGTTAAAGAAACAGAACAAAAATCATGTCTCTATTTAACTAAATCAAATTGACAACCCAAAATTTGGTTTAGTCATCAAATACTAGGCCAGGCTCTCAGCTGTTAGGATCATGTTTGACTTGGTTTAAAGCTGGGCATGCATCAGGCATAACACCAAATAGTCCAGACATGTTAATTGTGTTGTAGGAGCTGTAAGAACAGCAGTCACTAGTTTTGCTAGTCTGGTATTCTGCTTCCTGTTGTGGTAGATAATTCTTTTACAAATATAACTCAATTTTCTGCACCCATGCATGGGAGGAGGAAACTCCTCAGGAAAAAGAACTTTACTTTTTGTTCTGGACTTGAATAGCATCCCTATTAGCTTTTTTCTAAACTAATGGCTGTTATGGGGAATATGTAATTGTCTCTCCAGCTGCTCAGCTCTGAAGGCAGCACTGCCATCACCAGCAGCGCAGCAGTAAGAGTAGCATTACTGCATTCCCCCTCCCCCTTTTTGGGTCAAGACTCAAATTACCATGAAATTTCAGATTTAAATAGTTGAAATTATGAAATGTACTCTTAAAATCCTATGATTGTGAAATTGTCCAAAATGGACCAAATTTGGTAGATCCCTCACTATAATTCTTTGATTTGCTGTAAGACTTTTGCAGAATACAGCCACTCCCCGAGTTACAACCACCTCTACTTATGACCATCCGCACTTACGACCAAAGCAGTCGTAAATGTGGATCCGTGTTACAAACGGCGATCCGTGCTTATGAACAGCGTGGTTGCCATGTAACTCTATAGGATCCGAGTTACGAACACTTCGAGTTACGGACCAAGTGTTGGTCCATAACTCAGGGAGCGGTTGTACATTCAATACATTTTCTCCTATTAAATTTGCATTCCATTTTGAGGGGTAAGGAGAATCATTGAATGTACACTTTTAGAAGCTGTGTAATTGTGGATCTGCTGTTCGTCCCTAGTGGAATGAGTTGGAATAGCACATACCCAGATATCACCTTCAATTTTCCTGATGACAGTCATCCGCCTGTTGCCACTAGTAATGTCCTTATAGACTGGAACGTTGTGCATCCGGGAACGTCTTACAAAGTAAGGAAGGGCAGGTGGAGTATCTAATCAAAAAAATTGATTTCAACTCTAGGCTAGAACAATGTCTGGTCTGTATGCTCCACTAGTGAGCTGCAATCAGAATAGTGACCCTGATGAAGCTCAAGTCATTTCAGTTTGCAACTCTACTCTCCCTACCACAACCTTTCACTAACATCTAAAAATTCAACTGGGTTGTTCCTGGCTAAGGCAGTCACTGGTAAATATGCAATCGGAATTTAGCAGCCTTATGCATAAAGGCAGAACAGACACCTGTTCATGCCAGTAACTTTACTAGGGAAAAACCCCCAAAAAACAAATTGTCACTTTTCTGATACCAACTACTAACAAGGTTTGTATTTCTCAAGTTTTAGAAACATAGGATAAAGTATTCCAACAGCCAGCCTATGTTGATGGAAGGACTACTACAAGCATTAGTCTCTTTCTGTACCATACTCAAAATCACAAATCTTTCAGGTTACAGGAAACGAGGCCAGCATTAGGGGCCGTCAGGGGAGACTGCTATTGTTTGACTGCCTTCTGGTCCTAGAAAAATGTACCTTTCTATACCTAAAAAATGTAGGTTTCAGAGACAAAAGGGCACCTGTTATTGCATAAAAACTTCCTCATACCAAAATATCTCTGTAGCAGGGATGGGCAATTACAAATAATGGGTGGGCCACATGATTGGCCCTCCTTCACCTCAGTGGGCTGCAGTAACACATGGCCCTCTGGATATTCACCCCTCGTGCTCTCCCACATGCCTTCCAAACTGAGGCTCCAGAGCCACACACTGCTCCCTCCCTTCCCAGCAGTTTCAGAACGTGTGAATTGCCTGATTTGCACTCAGTGCCCACCTTGCTCCATCACAGCTCTAGGAGGGACAGAGCATGAACCAGGCAATTCATGCATTCCAAAAGTGCTGGAAGGGAGGAGCAGGTTAAGTGAGGGGCTCTGGTGCCTCAGTGTGGGTGGGTGGGGGAGGGGAAAGGTGGGCCTGCAAAGCACAGGATGCCCACTACTGGTTTATATATATCATGACTAAAACCCACCACTTTAAAAATCACATGAAAAAAAACACAATCTAATGGAAAATAACAGTGGTTGACACGCGTTCCCCTTCACTTAAGAGCAGTGGCTGTTCTGAGATACTTACATTCAGACTAAAGATGGGTTCCTTGCAACAAAGGAGTGGGTAAGAGAACCTCTGAAGGCTGGATCAGCTGGTGGATACAGATTACCACTGCCCTGCTGCTTCCCCCATCCCCAGGACAATCAAGACCTGGGGATGGGAGTGTGTGAAGTCTCCTTTCCCCACCCCCCCAAGGGTGCACAGCACCAGAGGGAATCACCTGCTGTTCTCTCTAGCCTCTGCTCCCAGGCCCTGATAAAGTCTCCTCCCACCCAAGGGGCATGGCATCACAGTGAACAGAAGCAGTTCTCTCTAGCCAGCACATGCCCCAGGCAGGGCGGGGGCAGAGGCTGAGGGAATTCACATGCTCCCAGGCTCTGATTGGCCTGGGGAGTGCTCGAAGTCTCCTTCAGTTGCAGTGCCTAGAGGGAACTGCCAGCTGTTTTAAAACTGCTGGCACTTCTCTCTAGCTGCTTGGGGTAAGTGGGGGGAGAGACTTCATGAGATTCCCCCACCCCCAGGCTAATCAGGATCTGTGGGCAGAGAACTCTTCCTGCCCTGTCCCACCCCTTCCAGGGGAGCCCAGGTCCCCTTTAGAAATCTATGAAGTGGCTCCCTTTTAAAAATTATTGCCCACCCTTGTCACAACATTACAATCTCTGGCTCTCGGTCAATGCTGTGTAGTATTCCAGCTCTGGCATGCTAAATCAGCACAAAATAGTTGCTACCAGTAGGCTGAGTGGAATTTGTTTTGATAGATGTTTTAATTTAAATTTCCAGTTGTGCAAAATCGTGGACTAAGTATTTTATTGATTTAAATTTCCCACAATTGTGAAAACTTAAAACATGTTGAAATTCAAAGTTAAACTATTAACATACAAACTTATCACATTTAAAATATACAAACTAAATAGTACACCAAATTAAGTTATTAAGCAGTGTTTTTAGGTTGACTAGCTGTGTCAGTTATCAATGAAAATATTTCAGGTTTGTGTGCATGTCGTGAAATGGACTGTTAGTGATGAACTCCTCCCAAGCCTAGCTCCAGGACAGATGCCCTATCTATACGGTTACCTGATGGAGGTCTCCAGCCAGACGGGGTGGGGTACTGGTCGTGTTTGGGGGGAGCAGGAATTCTGGTGGGTGGAATGAGTCTCTCCACAAATTTATATTCTTCAGTGGATTCGACAATCCCGGGGTAGTGAGGATCGCGGGTCTCAGGTTCGTCCCGGGACTGGCTCTGAAACGCACGGGGTGGGGGAGGGAATAACGGTCTGATGGAGGTCTCCAGCCAGACGGGGTGGGGTACTGGTCGTGTTTGGGGGGAGCAGGAATTCTGGTGGGTGGAATGAGTCTCTCCACAAATTTATATTCTTCAGTGGATTCGACAATCCCGGGGTAGTGAGGATCGCGGGTCTCAGGTTCGTCCCGGGACTGGCTCTGAAACGCACGGGGTGGGGGAGGGAATAACGGTCAGGCCATCCTGCCTGCAGAAGCCACGCGCAGCCCGGCCCATGGCGGGGGCGCTCTGCCTGCTCCCGACCCCGCGC